ATAATTTTAAAAAGCTGTCATACCTATTTGACAGGGGAGGTATATGATCACAAGTTGGTTTCCCTGAGGGAGGCTCATCCATTTCACTGGAGATCTGCTGAATCCTGGAATTTCCCCAACTTCAGGAAACTCAGCTGCATTATATGTAATAATGGGGACTCTGTTCAAACTTTCCCCCGTTTACACAGAAATAAAAAAGTTGTTCACAGTCTTCAGATATCACCTTAGAAATGTCTCCTTAGAAACACTTTCTAAGCCAAGAAAATGTTGAAAGGAAAAGGATTACCAAAAAAGGCATATATGCCCGGCAGTGGTGGTGCACACCTTTAATCCCAGCACTCAGAAGGCAGAGGCGGGTGGATCTCTTGAGAGTTTGAGGCCAGCCTGATCTACAGAGTTAGTTCCAGGACAAAACAAACAAAACAAAACAAAAACAAACATTATCATGCATATAATATTTATACAATAACAATGTTCATAAAGAAGTAAACAATGAGTCAAAGCCCAGGTGGTACAGCGCTTGCTTGGCATTCATGAAGCCCTGGGTTCTACACCAGCAGGCCATAAGACAGACGTGATAACTTTCACCTGTGATCTCAGCACTTGGGAGGTGGAAGAAGATGAGCAGAAGTTCAAGATCATCTTAGGCTACAAAGTGAAACCCTGTCTCAAAAAAGAAAGAAGGTGGGAGGGGACTATGACAATGAGCTGGGCCTAGCAACTCAAAAGGATGAACACTGAGAGTTCCAGGCCAGCCTTGCCAACAGTTTGAGGCCTTATTTTAAAACAATCAGAGCCTGAAAGATGGCTCAGTGGGTAAAAGGACTTGCTGCTGGGCCTGATGACCAGAGTTCGATCCCCAGGACCCACATGGGTAAAGGAGAAACAGACTCCTACAAGTTATACTCATCTCCACACCCATAGACAAAAAATAAAAATATAAATGTAAGATAGGCGGTAGTGGCGCAGGAGGCAGAGGCAGGCAGATCTCCGTGAGTTCAAGTCCAGACTGGTCTACAGAGTGGGTTCCATGACAGCTAAGGCTACACACAGAAACCCTGCCTTGAAAAAAAAAAACAAAACATGAATAAATGAATAAATAAATAAACGTTGAAGGAGCTGCGGGCTGTGTTCTACACAGCTCCCAGCCGCCTGACTAGCTTATGCCCCGAAATAACAACACACAAACTGTATTCTTTTAAACACTGCTTGGCCCATTATATCTAGCCTCTTCTCGGGTAACTCTCGCACCTGGACTAGCCCATTTCTAATAATGTATGTAGCACCCCAAGGTGCGCTTACCAGGAAGATTCTAGCCTACATCCATCCTGAGTCAGAGCTTCATCGCATCTGCCCCAGAGAGGAGAGCTATTGAGTCTGAGCTCACTTCCTCTTCCTCCCAGCATTCTGTTCTGTTTACTCCACCCACCTATGTTTTAACCTATGAGGCCAAGCAGTTTCTTTATTAATTAACCAATGACCTTCCTCCATTATTTCCCCTTTTTCTGTTTAAACAAAAAAAGGAAGGCTTTAACTTTAACATAGCAAAATTACATATAACAAAACAGTTATCAAGTAAAAATTACAGTTACAATATTTATATCTACTTTATCTTTTATCATAACTAAGGAAAACTATAACTATCTATCTATTCTTCAACTCCACCAAAGACTCCCAAAGAATACACCTATGTTTAAACCTATGAGGCCAAGCAGTTTCTTTATTAATTAACCAATGACCTTCCTCCATCAAATAAATGTACAGAAAAACCAAAAACAAACAAGCTAAGTGTGGTGGGATTTAGTGATACTTACCTATAATCCCAGCACTTGCCAGTTGATATCAGAGAATCAAGAGGTTGAAGCTCTTCTAGTCTGCTTTCTGCTGCTGTGATGTAACACTGACCAAAGCCCTTGGGAAGGAAAGGGTTAATTTGGCTTATACTTCCAGGTCCCAATCCATCACTGAGGGAAGTCAGAAAAGGAACTCAAGCAGGAACTGAAGCATACACCATAGAGGAAGGTTGCTGACTGGCTCACTCACGCTCACGGCTTTCTCTTATACCTGTCTAACGATGGCTTAGCCTCTCTGGGCTATGCACTCCCTACCCCAAGCAATCATCAAAGATAATACCTCCCAGACATTGCCATAGAAAAATCTGATCTTGGCAATTCTTCATTTGAGTCTCACTCTCCCTGTACTGTAGGTTGTCTCAAGAGGACAATAAAAAAGAAATAACACAAGCCAGGCACAGTAGCACATGCCTTGAATCCCAGCACTAGGGAGGCAGATGTAGTTGAATCTCTGGGAGATCGAGGCCAGCCTGGTCTACACAGTGAGTTCCCCAGACAGCCAGGACTGTGTATGAAGATCCTGTCTCAAAAAAACAAAAACAAACAAACAAAAAACAACATAAAGAACCTAGTTAGCATCAGGCCAACCTGACCTACGGCAGACCTTGTCACAAAGAGAAAAAAATGATAGTTACATCTGAGTGGGGATTCTCAATGACCTTGGCTCCCTATGCAATGAGCACTTTTTTTCTTTTTGTTTGTGTCATTTCTTTTGTTCTTAAGGCAGGTATTGAAATATAACTCAGCACTCCTGAGAGGCAGGCACATCTCTGTGAATTCACGGCTAACCAGCTCCAGTCTAGCCATGATAAGTAATGAGACCCTGTCTCTAAATATATGAATAGTTAAATAAATAAATACATAGTCCAGGCTGGCCCTGAACTTGCAATCCTCTTACCTCACCCTTCTGAATTGCTGGGATTACAAGTGTGAGCCACCAAGCCTGGTTTCTTTTCATTTTATTTTATTTATTTTTGTATGCTGTGTGCATTTGTGTGTATGTGTAGTTATGTGCATGTACCATCTACAGGTGTCCCAAGACCACAAGCATTATTGGATCCTTTGGAGCTGCAGCTACAGGCAGCTGTTAGCCACCAGATGCCAGCTGTGGGTTCCGAGAACCAAAGTCAGGTCCTCTACAAGTAAAGGGAACAACCTCTCCAGGCCCCTGGTCTCTTTTTAATTTTTAGAATGATTTTAGTTTTACAAAACAATCATGGTTCTCAAAAAAAAAAAAAAAAAAAAAACTTGTTTGCTTTTCTCTCCATAAGATGCCCGGCTCACTGAATTTACATCCATGCTGATGTTTTCCTCCTCCTTGCAGCAGGTCTTTGGTGACAATATTAAAACTGTATCCACTGTTCTACCAGGGCTCATAAGCCACCATTCTATCACAATTCATGCTGCTGCGGTTTCCAAGTTCTGTTTCTCTCCGGGACAAGTGCCAGTGAATGTGAGAAATGGCTGGCATTGTTGTGAATTTCCTCCAGCCTCAACTCACACATCTGTCTTCACACCAGGCACTCCCCCTGACACCTGTCAAAGGATGGGTTCATTCCCCACAAGTCCTGCCTGTGTGTTTCAGCTGGCACTGGTCACAGTGGGCACTCAAGAAGTGGTTGTCAGTCTACATTATAAACATCAATCCTCCACCAGATCCAGCAAGGAATAAAGGACAGGGGAGACGGAGGGAAACTTCAGTTCTTTGAGTCCAGCAGCTTTTTGTTGTTGTGCTGTTTTGAGACAGGGTGCCTGGCTAGCCTGGAACTTACTATGTAGAACTTACTATGAATTCCTAGAGATGTTCCTGCCTCTGTCTCCCAAGGACTGGGATTATAGGAATGCAGTACCACAGTTGGCTTTGTAAATTTTGTTTCTGTTTTGCTTTTTTGAGTCAGAGCCTCACTATGTAGCCTTAGCTGGTCTGGAACTTGCTATGTAGACCAGGCTGGCTTCAAAAATACAGAGATCTGCTTGTCTTGCCTCCCAAATGCTGGAATTAAAGGTGTGGGCCATCATCTCCAGCTTTTAAATTAAAAAAAAATATATTATGAGTATTTGGGTGTGGGTATATGCGAAGGAACACAGGTGCTGGCAGAGGCCAGAGGTGTTGGGCTCCCTGGAACCTGAGATACAGGTAGTTGTGAGCTGCCCAGTGTTAGCCCTGGGGTTAATTCAGGGTCCTCTGTAAAAGCAGTGTGTGCTGTAATTTGTTTTGTTTTGTAAGACAGGGGCTTGGTCTGTAGCCCAGGTTAGCCTCCAGCTCAAAGTAATCGTCCAGCATTCCCCTCCCAAGTGCAGGTGTATAGGTGTGTACCAGCACACTCCATTCTGCCAGGTGTTTGTTTTGTCTGTTGAGACAGGGTCTCACAACCTAGCCTTGGCTAGCCTAGACCTCCTATGTAGTTACCGGGCTATCCTCAAACTGGTGGCAATTCTCTTGTCCCTGCCTTCTGGGTAGGAGAACGAGGCTCTGTCAGGTTAGGTTTGTATTTGTTTAGGGTCTTCTGCTGTTGGTCTTTGTTTTTATTCTGTTTGCCTTTTGAGACACTCTCATCTTATAGCCTAGGCGGGCATGGAACTTGTGACTGTGCTGCCTCAGCCTCCAAGTACTGGGGTTACAGAAATAAACCACAAGGCTAACTGTGTGTCATGTGTCATTATTACTTCTGTTTTTGTTTTTGGTGCTACGTAGAACACCCCCAGCCTCGATTCCCTCTCAAAAGCAGCAAAGACAGCCGGCGAGGTCTCATTAGGCGAGGTCTCATTAGGCATCTCAACACCAGAGGTATTTGGATTGCTTGCTTTTGTTCCCTGTTGTCAGGGTCTCCTCGTGGTAACTATCCCTTTATGACTTCATTCCCTGTCTACGCTTCCATTTGCTACTTTGTGATTTCATCAAAGGCACAGTTTAGCTCACGCTGGTCAGAGGGCCCAGGAGCCTGCTTTTGCGCAGACTCAGCTTTGGAGCCCGGTCTAGAGCTCGCTGCACCTCGTCTTCGGATGCAAAGGGGAGGTTTCTTTCCAGCTGGCGTCTGCCTGCAACAGGTGATGTGCCTTTGGCTTCTGGAGCAGCGTCAAACCTAGAGGCCAAGGGGTGTACCTACTGCTTTTCCTAGAGTGCCTGGAATGCTTAGCGTCTAACCCATGGCGGTCTCCCTACCATCGCAGGCCAAGCCAAGCCAAGTCTCATCAGCCCTCCAATTGCCTCAGAGGTTGGGGCCAAGCCTGGAGAAAAAAAACGAGTCTCTAGGAGAGGAACGGTCATGCCTACTGAGGGCCACAGCTGCAGCTCAGACCCTAGCCAGTATCGTCCGGCCTTGTTATGGTCCCTATGGCCGGCAGAAGTTCCTGGTGACTGCTAAGGGAGAAACAGTTTGTACAGGTCATGCCGCTGTCATCCTTCGAGCGCTGGAACTGGAGCACCCAGCTGCCCAGTTTGTCCGAGAAGTAGCCCAAATACAGGCAGAGAACACTGGGGATGGCACAACCTTTGTAGTTCTCCTGACCGAAGCCTTACTAGAGCAGGCCCAGTACCTTTTGTGGGCCGGCTTAGCTCGAAACCAGCTCCGGGAGAGCTTGGCCACGGCCACAGCAGAAATCCTGACAGCTCTGCCTTCCCTGGTCATTCGCTCTCTAGGGCCTTTGGAAGACCCATCATGGGCCCTCTATTCTGTGATAAACACCCACACCCTGTCCAACACAGAGTATTTAACCAAGCTTGTGGCTCATGTGTGTTGGGTTACCAGAGAGCCAAATGGCACCTTCAAGCCTGAGCGTATTGGCGTGTGCATGCTAGAGGGGGGGACGCTGATGGACTCCCACATTCTCCCAGGGCTAGCAATATGTGGGAAACCCTGTGGAGAAACGACCGAGGTGCTAGCTGATGCCAGGGTGGCCCTGTTCATTTGCCCCTTTGGTCCTACAAATCCATATTCACTGGCCACGCCCCGTCTCTCCAACCCTGAAGAACTACTAAGATTTCGGAAAGAAATCGAACAAGTGGAAAAGGAAATAGCCCAGCTGGCCGTTATGGACATTAATGTGGCAGTGGTATGGGGGGAAGTTAATGAGAAGATGGTGGTCCAGGCTAACAATTGTGGCATCATGGTGATTCAGGCCAAGTCACGAAAGGATATGGTCTACCTGAGTGAGACGTTGGGCACTCCTCTGCTGACTCGGCTGCTTCCTCCCCTGGAGCCCGGGAAGTGCCAGAAGGTTTACGGGAAGGAGCTGCAAGGCAGTGTGGCGGTGGTGTTTGAGTGGGAACATGAGAATACACCTTCTCTCACTTTAGTCCTTAGGGGGCCCACCATCCAGGGACTTCGGGGTGCAGAGCAGGCTGTCTACTATGGCATTGATGCATTTTCGCAGTTGTGTCAAGATCCCAGAGTGCTACCAGGAGCTGGGGCCACAGAAATGGCTCTGGCAAAAATGTTGTCGGACAAAGGAAGCCGACTGGCAGGCCCCAATGGTCTGGCCTTTCTAGCATTTGCCCATGCCCTGAGCTCTCTACCTAAAACCTTGGCAGAGAATGCAGGCTTAGCTGCCCAATGTGTGATGGCAGAAATGAGTGGAATTCACCAAGCTGGGAACTTCCTCACGGGAGTGGGAACAGACGGGATAATAAATGTGGCCCAGGAAGGGATATGGGACATACTGAAGACCAAAGCCCAAGGACTGCAAGCGGTCTCTGAGCTGGTGCAGCAGCTGGTGACGGTAGATGAGATCATAGCGGCCAAGAAGACTCCTGTCCACCAGCAGATTACAAGACCCACCTGGCAGGCAAAGCAGTCCTCACCCCTGAGAGAAAAATTTTTTGCAAAATACGTATAGCAACACGCTAAATAAAGTAAGAACTGTCAAGGTTGGATAGTAACCTCCAAAATACTGATGTTTTCCCTTATTTCTTTCCTTCACATCTGTGGCTTCTAGAGCCAGTTCGTTTTTGCTGGGTTTTTTTTTTGTTTTGTTTTGTTTTGTTTTGTTTCCAATAGGGTTTCTCTCTGTAAAAGCCCTGACTGTCCTGTCCTGTAATTCAATTTGTAGACCAGGTTGGACTCTAACTACTAAAGTGTGTGCCAACACGCTCACCAGAGCCAGTTTCTAACCTTTCCTTTTTTCAAGACAGGATTTCTCTGTGTACCACTGGCTGTCCTGGAACTCACTCTGTCTCTGTAGACCAGGCTGGCCTTGAACTCACAGAGACCTGCCTGTCTCTGTCTCTGCCTCTGCTGGAATTAAAGGCATGTGCCACTACTGCCTGGTTGTTTCTAACCTTTTAAAGGATTTATTTGTATGTGTGTGTGGTTAGGGGGGTGTTGATGTGTGGTATGAGTATTTTCATGTGTGTTTTCAAGACAGGGCTTCGCTGTGTGGCAGCCCTGGCTGTCTTAGAACTAGCTTTGTAGACCAGGCTGGCCTCGAACTCTCAGACCACTGTCAGCCTCTGCCTCCAGAGGGCTGGGACTAAAGATGTGAGCTGCTTTGATTTAATCAAATAAAAGACATTATTTGGACCAGTGAGATGGTTCAGCAAGTGAAGATGCTTTCTGCCTAATGACGTGAGTTCCAACCTTAGCACCCACCGGATGAGGGAGAGAACCGACTCCCACAAACTGCCCCTCCAGCACCATGTACTTGCTATGGCACACAAGCAAGTACACATACACACAATAATTGTTTAAAAAAAAACAAAAGCCAGGGCCAGAAAGATGGCTTAGTGGTTAAGAGCACTAGCTATTCTTCCAGAGGACCCAGATTCTATTCCCAGCACCCACATGGCAGCACATGCCTGCCTGTAATTCCAATTCTAGAGGCTCTGACACCCTCACACAGACATACAAGCAGGCATAACACCAGTGCACATAAAAATGAGTGAAAACTTTAAAAAAAAAAAAAAGGTTTGCCAGTCAGTGGTGGTGCACACTTTTAATCCCAGCACTTGGGAGGCAGAAGCAGACGGATTTCTTTGAGTTTGAGGCCAGCATGGTCTACAACGAGAGTTCTAGCTATGATTAGTTTATAACAATATAAAGATAGATAGCTCCTCAATTTAGTTATAATTCTAAGACTCCAACGAGTGGGATTACAGGCATATAGCACCACATAAGGCCATGAATCTTCTGGAATCCAGAGTTGGTAAAATCAAAAGAACACAAATTTCCCCAAGAGAAGGTAATGTCACAGAACAGCAAAGGTGGTGGCGAGTCAGATAGCTACAGACGGTTTTGTTTTGTTTTTTCTTTTTTGGTTTCTCGAGACAGGATTTCTCTGTAGCTTTGGAGCCTGTCTTGGAACTAGCTTTTGTAGCCCAGGCTGGCCTCGAACTCACAGAGATCCACCTGCCTCTGCCTCCCGAGTGCTAGGATTAAAGGTGTGTGCCACCATCGCCCTGTGCTCCAGACGGCTTTCAAAAAATCTCCTGGAGAAGAAACACTGAGGTAGCCTGGAGATCTGCCTGCCTCTGCCTCACAAATGCTGATATCAAAGATGTGTGGTACCAGTGCCCGGCACAAATAAATAAATCTTAAAAAGAAAAAATAGCAAGAAAGTAAAAAAGGAAAGGAAGGAAGGTGGGAAGAATATAAAAACTTAAATGGAGGATGGTTGGAAAAGTAGGGCCCCATGCTGCCGTTTGCCATGGTGACTTAGTGACCAACAGGCTGCAGACTGTCCGTCGGTTGAATGTGCAGTGTCCTGGGTCCTTTGGGAACACCATGAAGTTATATGAAATCTGAAAATAGTCACGTCTATGGCAGGAAGTAGAACTGGCCTACAGCTCAGCCTGTCCTTTTGTTGGACTTGTCAGAGCGAGAGGACAGAAACAGCTCCAGACTGTCACTCTCAACAGCCTGAGGAGTTCCCTTAATCTTTCACAGGCTATGACTCAGGCCAAACTGGGATCTGTGACTTTTACACAGAAAAGAAATCCAGACCTATTGTTTTGCAGCAGAGTTGGAGACATTATTAAAGATATTTTTAATGCAGATGGCTCAGGAAAGATTGCTTGCTGTTCTTCCAGAGAACTCAAGTTCTGTTGCCAACACCTGCTCTGGGTAGCTCACATCTGCCTGTAACTCCTGCTCAAGGGCGAAAGAGGGCCTCTTCTGACTGTCACTGGCACCCACAAACACAAATAAAAACACAGAAAATTTTAATTTTTTTTTTTTGAAAAAGGGTCTTTCTACATAGTCCTGGCTGTTCTGGAACTTACTATGTTGGGTCCCCTGGAACTGGAGTTACAGATGGTGGTGATAGACAACGTGGGTGCTGGGAACAGAATTTGGGTCCTCTGGAAGAACAGGAGATGCTCCTAACCACTAAGTAACCTCTCCAGTGCCAAAGTCTGTTAAAAAAAAAAAAAAGAATTGTTTTATATGTATGTATATCACACTTGTGAAGAGTCTGTGTAGGTCAGAAGAGGGCATCAGATCCCCTGGATATGGAGTCATAGACAGTTGTGATCCACCATGTGCGTACTGGGATCTGAACCTAGGCCCTAGAACAGCAGCTGCTTTTTCTCTCTCTAGTTTTTCAGGGTTTGTTTGTTTTGTGGTGTGTGTGTGTGTGTGTGTGTGTGTGTGTGTGTGTGTGTAGTGTGTAGTGTGTGTAATAGCTCTGGCCATCCTGGAACTCAGTACGTCAATATGTAGGCCAGGCTGGCCCCAAACTCAGAGATCCGCCTGCCTCTCCCTCCAGAATAGTGGGATTAAAAGTGTGGTTATATAAATATTTTAAGTATGAGGGTTAGGGGAAGGAATGGCACAAGGACAGAAGGAGGCCAGGCAGGCAGAGAACCAAGCGGGCATGTGCTCCCCAGGGAGACTTAAGGGAGCGTGACAGAGACACACGTGGTGGTGTGAGTATGGGTTCCTCAAGGGAACCTTGAAATTAATCAACTTAGTGTTAGCCAGCCGCATCATTTCCGTGGCTTCCAGTTAGACCTCAAAGGTTCTCACAAAAGCTTTCCAACCCAGTTCTCTCTTTTCTCCTAAGTGAAGTAAGTTCAAGGCTCTAGAGGTGATAAGGGTCACTCTGGTCCTCCACCCAGGTCCATCCAGCTGGAGGTGTACCCTAGGCTAGGCCACGCTGAACTGAGGATAGACTCATGCTCAAGCCTCAAGGCCCAAATCACCTCAGAGCCACACCCTTTGGCCACCTGAGTGGCGGAGGGGTTGGGGCGGAGGATACCCCAGAGTTCCCTGGTTCCTCTAGCCCTCTTCAGCTTTTTTTTTTTTTTACCACGCATAGGCAGTCCCCTCACGGATCTCTCAAGGGACAATCTTTTTGGTAACTCTTTCTAGAAGACTTAAACTAGCCCAAGAAGGCAAAACACAAATTACCCTGAAACAGGCGATCTTTTCCTGAGAGGAACATGTCCTCCCAAACCATGTGCCCAGAGAGAGAGAGCCTTGATGTGTAGCTGTTAAACCAACTCTCGTCCTAAGAGCCTTCCTTACTGTAAGGTGGGGACACCCAGAGCTACACTTCAACTACAGGCATCACCACCTTCACCTTTGTCTGGATGGATGACTCCTGCAAAGACCAGTGCAGGCCCTGGTTTGCAGCAAGGCAAGCTTACTGCGGACCGCACTTGTTCCTTCCCCCTTCTCGCCCCTACTCCAACAGTAACAAGAGCACAAGGAAAATGTTCCCAAGTCTCAACATAAGCATGATCTTATCCAGTTCTCCTACCAACCCTGAATAGGCAAGACCACTGTTATTCACTCCATTAATAGAGAAACTGAGACTAATGTGTGGGCTGGGGGTGGCTGTCAGTTCCCAAGCCTGTTCTAGGAATTGCTGGGCAATGTGATTCCCAAAACCCTTCCAGTTCTAAACTGTATAAATTCTCCAATTTGGTTCTTTTGAAATTACCAAGCTAGCGGTGAGTGCAGGTTTAAGAACCTGAGATGAACCAGTTGGTGACAGGCTAACTCCGCTAAAACCTGTCAGCTCTCCCATTCCACTGTTCTAACAACGCTCCAGGGTACAGACAGCCCAGCGCTGAATTCTTATTCAGATCCCACAGTAGACTCCCTGTCCTAAGGGAAGAGAACCACGTGGTTAATCTGCACAGAGGTCCCACCCTGTCACTACCCCGCCCAAGGGCGTGATTTGCTCTACACTTCCCATTTCCCCAGGCTTAGGGAACTGTGGCCTGGAATGCTGGAACCTTTGAGCAGGAGGTGTACTCGGCTCAGTAGGAGGTGTACTCGGCGCTGCTTGTCGAGCTCACCAGGAAGCCCTGGGTCCGTCCCTAGTCAGGGGTGACTTGTTGATGACCAAAGACTTGAGCAGAAACTTTTAGCTTTCATGGCTACTGGCAGCTTCTCTGTGGCCTTAAGGGATGCCCACAGGGACTTTATTTTTTATTATTTATTTGGTTTTTCCAGACAGAGTTTCTCTGTGTAACCCTGGCTCTCTTGGAACTCACTGTTGTAGACTAGGCTGGCCTCAAACTCCCAGAGATTCACCTGCCTCTGCCTCTTAAGTGTTGGGATCAAAGGCATGTGCCACCACTGCCCGGCTGAATTTTTTTTTTTTTAAATAGGTTTTTCATGGTTTTCCCTTCCCCAAGTCTTCCCAGATTTTCCCGAGCCCCC